TGAAGATTAAAGTGGGATGTTTCGGCTCGCCAACATTGATGCATGTAAAATCACCAGAATAATGCAACTGATGATAGACAAAATGATCATATATGGTAAACTCCACTGTCACTGTTTCACCATTTTCATTCTTCATACATTTTTATCTCCTTGGAACCATTTTTCAATTCAATGATCGTTCCACAGGTCTTCATTGGCTTCCAAAGATGCCCCACAATAATACCTCTAGCTGAAACAAGCCTTCATTAATGTCGCAACATTATCTTATTCAGGTAAGAGCCTTCAAAATACCCCAACACCTCAAATCATAAGGCTCATTTTCAATGCCTTCTTGGTCTGAATCTTATCATCTCAAAATGATGTGGGTTCAGTCGTGCCCCGACATTATCTCATACTGGTACGGACCTTTAAAATGCCCCAATATGGGTATTCATGGCTCTCTCCGTACCAAAATCTCTTAACCTTGAATGCTCCCATTCTAATGTCGCTACACAACAGTGTAGCTGAATATCTTGAGGGCTTTTCTTCAGGTTGCCTTAAACACTTAAGAAATGATCAGTTCTAACATAATGTCTTACATTTTGTTATGAGCTGGGATATGTGAGCCCTACTCTTCAAATAAAATGATCATCTTATTCTCGATTGGTCGCACACTTGCATCTATGCTATGCACTAGGATATATGCCTCCTTCTCATATGGTGATCATCTTCTTGACTGGTTATTGACAACATCACAAAGGAGTGTTACAAGTTCCATTCCTCAGTCATTCTAATCTCTCGGACTATTTCCTATCAACACTGTGGAATGCTTCATGTTCTGGCATCGCTTATTCTTTCTTCAATGGAGGAAAAAAGAGCCTCGTCAGCCTCAAGGACCTTTCACATTTGAGACTATCCTGTTTGAAAATATTTTTCCCCTTTCTCTTATTTTAGGGATCAAAGAATGAAATAATTTTGCAAAACACTGCCCCTTAATTCAGACTCACAATTGAATCAAATCATAAACAAGAGTTCACGGATTTTCAAAAGAATCAATAGCTCTTTATTATTTTCAGGGTTATAGCTCTTTGATAAGTGTCAAAATTAAGGGGTTAGCTTCAGGTTGGCTTCCTATTTTCTAAGGTTTCAACCACCGAAATATTATTTCCTTCTCGGTCATCGTGACTATTCCCTACTTTCTTGGCTTGGTATTTTAATCGGATGCGGACAAAATGACGCAACTAACATAATCCATTACTATACTTTCTAGAACACTTCCATTTTAGTTCTCTGAAATCTTCCATTTGTTCAAGCCTCGTAGACTTCTCTAACCAAGGCAGTGCAGAAATATTGATCTAAAAATGAAATTTCTGAGTACACGTGTGAAATTGACTATAACAGGTGTTCCTTATCTCCCTTAGTCCTTTTTTGCCGCAACTTCTTATTTATAAAATTTATTTAATTTGCCATTTTCTGGCTAGCTGAAATCAGCTTTATTGTAATTTGCCTTTATCGGGCTAGCTGAAAGATTCATCTCATCACAAAGTCTTTGACTTGACAATCACAGTGGAGCATACATCGAATTACCAAGTACCCGGTCAAGGTCATGGTTTGAATATAATCTATTCATAAAGCCAGGGCTTTCGAGTTTCCTCTATAACCAATTGCCTTAGTGGAATAGCTCAGCTTTATTGTATAAACATATTATATATATATATATTTATATATATATATATATATATATATATATATATTTGGGTATACGGATTCATTTCTTAAGCTTGTCAAGGAGAACCTGTTACAGTCTCGGTGTTTGTTGAAGGTCAGAAAATCTCATCGTTAGAGTTCATTTCCCAAGCAACTGACCCAAACTAGACTCATTTACTCAACAATTCCATCTGTAAAGATCATAATCATCATTGAACGTCATCAACAAAAGTGTAATCTAGTCAGTTTTGTAACGTCATAGACGAGAGATGCCCCATGTTGTCCGCTCCTGTGCATACCTGAATACCAAGCCTATTGTTCATCCCCTTATGATAGAAGAAGGCTACATCGGTCCCTGTAAGAAAAGGGTTTGGTGTTCGAGTGCATCTTTTGGGGTTAAGGTCAAGGTCCTTGTTTTATCAGGTTTCAACCTTATCATTTTGTTAAAGATTTATAACTCTAATCATTAAAGAGCTTTTAATTCAGTTGATATTCAAAGAATTTCAAGTCGTAAATTTGATTCAATGCTCACCATCCATAAAGTAACATGAATTTATTTAAATATCATTATAAAAAACTGAGAAAGAATGAAAAATAAGTTCAAACATGATGTTGCAAATGGAAAATGCGATTGTGGTGGAGCACAACCTTCACTTGTTCAACCAAAAGGCCCTACTTTCCCTAGAATGGTGGGTGCCCCGTTGGATTAGGGTTTTTACCCTCACTTACTCCCCATTTCTCGATCATTTCTCTTGTCAGGACTCCCTTGTCAACGAGCCTTTCTATCTCTTCCATCAATGGTATGCATTTGTCAGTGTGATGGCCCAATACCCCTAGATGAAAATCGCAAGCACTATTCGGGTCATAGCCATAAGCGGATGGGCTAGTCTTCATTCTTAATGGCCTTGGAGTGAGGTACTGATTCTTGATTAAAAGGGATAACAAGTCGGAAATGGGCACTTGAAAAACCTTGAGGGTCGTATTTTCCCAAGACATCTTCTGCGGCCAGTCCCGGACTACCTCTCCTTTAACTTTCTTCTTGTCACTTCCCACTTCTATCTTCTTTTTTAGCGTCAGAGTGGTCTCAAGAGTTGAGTCCTTTATCTCTGCTTCACATATCTCAATTTCCTTGATTTAATTTTTCTCCTTTTTAACACTCTCTTTGGTATGTACTTCACTTGTTTCAACCCCATCAACTACATTCTGGCGATTGACTTTCAACTGCTGAGCATCTACCTCTATAACTCCATGAGCCAAAAGATCTCGAACCTGTCGCTTGAAGTTACTACAATTCTCGATAGAGTGTCCTCGGGCTCCAGCATGATATTCACAAGTAACATCCTCATTATACCAACTCGGATAAGGGGGCAGCAAAGGCTTGGCCAAACGTGGGACAATTAGTTGGGCTTGGAGCAACTTTGGATATATCTGGCTATGTAAAAACTCTTTTGATCCCACTTTCTCCTTGCCGTTATTATGATCATATTGAAGACCTTGTGACTGACCACTGGAACATTCACTTTGAATGTTTAACGTTTGACTAACATCTTGGGAGAGACATTGATTTGCAGATCTCCCTTCATCGACAAGTTTTGAGCTTCCGGGGAGCTTAGGTTTTCCATTTTCAAAGCATAACAACCCTTCCGTTATGAAGTTTTGAACTTTAAATCTCAGGATCGAACAATCTTTTGTAGAGTGGCTAAACTCTTGAGAATGATAACCGCATGATCTCTTGACACCTTTCCAGTCTGGACGCAAATAAGTATTGTACCTCGGAGGAAAAGGCTTTAGAAGCCCACTTTCAAAGAGAAAGGGTAACAAGTCTGGATATGAGATCGGAATCGGAACCATAGGTGTCCTCTTCTTCTTCTTTCTATTCTTTTTTGCCTTCTTTACTGATAATTGAACCTCCTCTATGCCTTTTTTCTTTGAGTCCGGTTTCACTTTCGTATTAGAAGTTTCACCCTTAACTTCTGCATCTTACTTAATTTTTGGAGTTGACTTGAATTACCACATCCCCTAACAGGTTCTTGATCAGTTGCTATCATCACATTGGCTGCACCATTAACATTAAGATTCTCACTCGAAGTCTTCATCTGTTCTTGATCATTTGCTATCATCACATTGGCTGCACCACTAACATTCAAATTCTCACCCGAGGTATTCATATTTTCTTGTGTAATAGGGTCATCTGATGATTTCTCCCCATATATCACTGTAATCATCATGCTCATCAACTTGGACATCTGTCCCCTGGATTTAACTTGGAACTTCCTTGCTTCATCAATCTTTTCTTGTTGGGTCCTTACGAGCTGTTCTTGAATTCTCTCGATCTTACTAACTCGTGCTAAGATCTCATTCATTGTTGTCTATCTTTCCAGAAACACGTCTCAGGGTAACGTCAATTTAATTTCAGAGCTTCTGCCACATCATCCTTCACGAGTTACTCTCATATTTTCATGATTTATGCATGTAAAGATGCTTAAATTAAAGCGATGTGAATGCAAATGTGGATGAAAAAAATGCAAATGCAAAATGTGTTAATCCCAAAAGTGACCATTATAAAACAACCTTCATTTAGACAACAAGATTTCATTACACTATGTAATCAAAATACAATTGTGATTCTTCATTTCCTTGAACCATACTCTTCATGGAGTCTGGCATTGCATCTCCAAAATGGTCGGCGTATTTTATCACATTTGATGAAATCGATTGTCTTTGAATTGAATCTTGGGATCTCCATCTCTACTTTCAATGGAAAGTGCTCTTCACGTCTTTGTGAAGGGTCTTCTCGTCCTTGGCATTACTGCATCTATCTCCTGAGGGAACATCTTCAGGATGTCTTTCTTTGTGGATCGGTCTTCAATCAGTTTCAAATTTCTTCATTCATCGGATGTCCTTCTTCATGAATCGTTCTTCAGTCAGGTTCAAATTTCTTCATTCGTCGAATGTTCTTCTTCATGAATCATCTGAACGCCTCTTGATCTCCAGATTTTGATTACATGGTTAAGAATTTCTTGTCTCATTATGATCAGCCTTCTTATTAGTCAATCACTTGTGAATTAACACCTTGTGATGACATGAAGATGTGAATGCAATAAAATCAAAATAAAATAGACATAGAACAAAAATGGGTTAGTGTACATAATATAAACAACAAAATAAGTACCATAAACATCAAATAAAACCTACCCTCACATGCTGGCTACCCAATCATGCTTTAGTAGATCCTACTCAACATGATATCTACCCCCATGCTTTGTTTGAACATTAAAACCCTAACCGCATGATATCTAATTCGCATGCATGCTTGACAAATAAACCTAACCGCATGATATCTAGTTCACATGCATTTATTCAAAAAAACGAAAATGAATGACTCAAAAAGCTTTTCCTTGTGTACCCTCCTCACGGGACTCTTAAGGTTCGGGTTTGGCTCGACCTAAGTTTGGGCTCTATGTTCACTATATGCTTGGTTCGGTTCTAAAGTAATAATATATTCTCGAATTGTCCTTGTCGGTGCCCCCTTGGGCTGCCGAGCCCTCAATCCTGGCCCATCACAGGCTTTAGGGGATCGAGTTCAATTTCGAGGGAACACACCCCCTTATGTCTATGCGGAGGTGAATACCATCACGATGACCATAAGGCGTGAGTTCCATGAGCGATCCACTATCCCATGCGGAGGTGAAAACCACACGAGGGCATAGTCTCTCACTCCTAATTAATTAGGATGGAGCGGGGTTTTAGCTCATGTCATGAAAATGCAACTGTGCAGTGTGTGAGGAAAAGCAAAAAAACACATAATAAAAGCACTCAAAAATCAATTGTCAATTCACAAATAATCTGAAACCATTAGCAAACAGATCAGTACAACTATTTAATTGTTAATTGAATTAAATCAAAATACAAACAAAACTTATTAAAAACCAAACAATGGATAAAAAACCAAATTAAAACAAATTTATAACTTTCAATTGCAAAGACACTTAATTAATCGACTATCGGCCTGACTCTCTAAAAAAAGTCCCTAGTAGAGTCGCCATGTTGTCGAGACGATTTTTTCTTTTAAGGGTAAAAAAGGTGAGATTTTAAAAAATCATATTAATTCTTAATTATCTCTTTTTTAATTTAAAAACAAATGCGATTTAAAAGACCTCTCGTTTCGAAAAATTTTGGATTTTCTTTACGATCGAAAAATACGGTTCGAAGAGTCACCACCAATCTTTTGATTAGGGTGTGATTTGGCACCCAAAAATGCTTTGTCATTTTAAATAAAAATTAATTTTAATTAAAATAACAAATTGAGGTATGCGTTACCAAAATCCGAGTTCGGGAGTCGGTTACGTGTGGGGAAGGATTATCACTCCCATAACGCCCTAAATCGGTACCTAGTCGATTAATTAACGTCTTTGCAATGAACTTTACAACTTTGAATTTAATTTGATTTTTGATCTCATAAAACAAAAATGTAAATTTAAAACATTCAAAAGCACTCAAATAAATTAAATTGAAATTACCGAGTCGTTTTAGAAAGATGAAGAATGTTCGATTATTTACAGATATCGAGATTAGATCTTAAAAGTTATAACAACCTTTTCTCGATAAATTTAAATAAACGAACATTTCTTTTTCTTTTGTTCCCAAATTTTAGAGTGATGGATCAATTTTTAGGCGTCACTAATGGGATACACTTTTATTTTAAAATCATTAAAAGCGGACCTCAAATCAGTTATGACTGCCCACTTAAAATAATTTTAAATTAAAAGCATATTACCCTTAGTCCAATTATGTATTATGTCGAGTTATGCAAATGAGGTTTCATACACCGGAAATTAAAGATACATGCAATTAAATCTACATGGTTTTACACCAATTAAAATAATAAAGATATTTGAAAAACAACAAGAATACATTATATAAATACTACCAATACTAAATAAATAAATAAATAAAAAGACAAAGTACGTACATGCATGTAAACATACATCCCAAAATTATGTGCAAAATATGTGTTAACATACCAATGCTCATATATCCCAATATTCATAGTTCAGGATTTTAAAACAAATGCATTTATACATACATATAATATGTATCTAAATAATTTAAGCACAAACAAACCCATGCATATATTTCTGTACGTATATGTATTTAAAATGGACCACCATGCTAAATGAAAAACAAATGAAATAAATACACTTACGAGATTAAAATGCATGTAAAATAAAAGAACTAAATCAAAAATTAGAAAGACCTCAAACTGAGAACCAACTTACATTAACCTCAAAATTGAATTGATCCATCACTTAATAAGCCCAATAACAAAAGAAAACAACTCTTGGCCTATATTTGCTAAAATCAGAAACGTTTTGGCTTTAACAAATATGGTTTAAACTTGATTTTAACCCTAATATCCCATTACGTTAACTCTCCTTCTCCACTGCTGCTCAAGCTTTCCTCGTCACTCTCCTTTTCATTTGCACAGCCGAAAAATTCAAGGTTTTCACACTCATGACACCGACAGCCTCCCCGGTGGTTACTACACTCCACTCCGAGCACTAAAAGCTCTACAGGAATCCTAAACAACCCTATTTTTTTCTTCCGTCCTCAACTTTCGGTCACTCAAGTTCTTCATCTCACTCTCTTTCTTTTTCTTAAACGAGAAAGCCACTCATAGCCCTTCCTCGTCACTCTCCGACTCTGACGAGGAGCCGAGTGACTACTATACAACTCCATTTCAAACGTAGTCTCTAAATCATCCCTCTTCGGGCCTTACAACCCACAAATAAACATAGATTCTACAAACCCAAACAACCACAATCGAGATACTATAAGAGCGTTACCTTTGACTGTTGAAGACGTTTACTTCCTTCGATGAAGGCACAAAGGCTGTTATCGCAGAAGAGGTAAGGTTTCCCTTAGATTTTTCCCCTTTTTTCCTTTATATTTTCTCTTGGGTTTTGATGGATTTTTCTTTTTGGGTTGTTATGTTTACTACTCGCTTATTGTTTTGATCACTAATTTAAGAAACAATCATGTCTACCGCTCCAACCATGAGAGCTTGCACCGTTAAGGTAAAAACTCAACTCCCTATCTATCTATGCTTTTCGATTGCAAGAAAGAAAGAGGAACAAAGAAGTATTATGTACCTTAAAAAAGCTATGTTATGTATTGATTGTATTGCTGAAAAAACGAATGTACCAGGAAGAAGAAACTACTTCTTTTCTATTTATTTTTGAACTCTCTGCTTACAAGAACGAAGGGGAAACCCCATGGTTTTTACAATGTATCTCTCCTATTCCCTTCACTCGAATGGTCCTTTTTTGTTTCTTTTGCTTCGTTCTCTTTCAGAAAATGGGGAAGAACCCCTTTCAATTTGCCCTTTGTTTTGAATGTCCGGGAGTGGATTTACAGTATACTCTTTTGTTTCTCCAGATCATTTTTTTTCTTTTTTTTCTTTTCTGCCTGTGTCATCTCCTGTTTCTGGCGGTTAATTGTTCATTAAAAACTGACCCCCACCCCCACTTTGTTTTGGTTAACTCCCGATAACCATTTTTTCAGTTTTCCCGGACTTCACGTGGACTGGCTTGGATGATAATGTTGCTGGGTCATTGGGCTTGAACTGGGTCTTCAACGGGTTAGGTTCTTCTTTAGGCATGTCATTGCTTCGGGTCTGCTCCGACATAACCCCGGACAAATCGAGTATCTACATCACACATGAAACTTTCTCAATTATTTGATACGGAAGAAAATTACAACAATGACCTTAAAAAAACTCGTCATACCAACATGAACGGAACTGTTGGCACAATATTTTTGACTTGCAGACGGCGCCATCATGTTCCCGTAAATGGTAAATTTAGATTTTAATCCTTCAAGTCTTATAAAATTAAATCGTTGTAATGGTAAAGTAGCATTTTACTCTTCTAATTTTAAGAATTATAACATTTCAAATCAATATAATAAAAAAATGTGATTATTTTTTAACAAAAGCCCTAAAAAGCTAAGCAAGCGAAACTCTTATTTCTTTTTTACATGGGATGAGAAAAGTAAGATGTCTCTTTATAAAGATTCAGACAAATTTGACCAAATCAAGATAATGGTCTTACATGATCAAACCGAATTCCTTTGCTTTTTAGAAATAAAAATAAGGTTGCCCGTATTAGAAATCAGACCAACCAAAGTAGAAAAAGCAAAATGTCACACCCTAGAGATTAGGACCGAGATATGTGCATTTGAGACCGGGACAGAGGTTCTTAAGAAGGTATTGGGCGTGACTAATCCATCAGACTTAGTTCAATCCATGGAGAAAGCTAAGAATCTCATTCACATTGAACCTGCAAATATGAAAAGTGACAAGAAGATCACACGTGCTTGATAAATATGACAAGGGATAATGTCATATCAAGGAGGATTATGGAGGAATCTTTTCATATTAATAGGGTTTATCAAATGAAAGAATGGGACTAATTGATTTGTATGGATACTAATTTGATTGAGTTTCCTTAGATAGGAAGATTTGTAATTAATAGGGTTCATATTAGTCATTGATCTAGATTAATCTTAGTCGTCCATTGTAAAGAGATTCAACTATAAATAGAGGCATTTTCCACCTCATTTGTACTCACTTTACTTTTCATTTCATTTAGTGGAATACAAAGAGCATTCACCCAACTCTTTCTTTTGTTTATGTGAGCTATCTCCTTCTCAAGATCTTTTGTGCTTCCACGTTGTACTAAGCCTTTTAGTTTAGTGTTTTTCAGGCTAACTTACGTGCAAAACGCCCAAGAGTAGTCCCCAAGCATCTAAGGTCGCACGTTCTCGAGTTTAAGGTTCCAAGGGCATGACAAAAAGTATTTATAATTAAATATTAGACCTATAAGTCCAACCTTTCCACATGGCATATTTTCTTTTGAGATGAACCATACCCCGTAGACACCTTTCCCTTGAGATTTTAAAAACATGGAGGCCTGCATTTATGCGTTAATTATTCAACAAATTGCTCTTTGTCAACACTTTTTTTTATTCAATTTAAAAAAGGGGTTTTAAGGAAAAACCTCAGAGTATTTTATTGTTATTATTTTTGTATATTGAGGGGGCAAAGTACAATTTTATCATTTTTTTAAATTTAAAACTTTTAACTTCTGTAAGGCAACATGGACCCTGCAACCTGCACCTGATTTGGCTAAAGAAACCAGAAAACTGGAAAGAGTTGATTCTTCACACACAATCACCAATAGATCAAAATCTTTAGAGCTAGTTAAGGGGGTAAAAAGATGGAGAACTCAGACCAAAGTATAAAAGAAATGGTCCCCAAATCTGCAGCAAATTGCATAAGCCAACTTTTTTAAGATTTGTTTGTTTACTTTGAAATCATTCCCTGTCATTTTCATACCCTTTTACAAGAAACTGTCACACCACAAGTATTACATTCACATGCACAGTATGATTTCACTTTGAGGTAAAAAAATAATAATCAAAGACTAACAAGTGAAAAGATCCCAATATCTGCCACAATGATTAAGGAGAGAAAAAAAAAAGCTGTAATAATATAGTTCTTGCAATACCAATTGATTTGAACCACAATTCCCAGTAAATTGTCAAACATGAAATGTCTTCTTTTAATTATGGGAATCACAACTTAATTCAAAGGCTTTCAACAATCAATAATTTCAAGACTAAATGCACAACTGTTATATGTTATCACTAATGGGGTCCCCACGTTTCCCTAAACCAGAGAGGATTTATGCAACTCGAAAGTGATAAAATTAGCTGCAAAAATAAGGTAGAAACCATTTGAACAACTAAGCAAAGTAGCTACGATTTTCACAGGCCATCTCCTTACTTTATGGTGCGTAATCTAATCAGCATCAACTAACGAAAGAGTAAACGGCCAACCTGTACATGTATATCATATTACACTCCGGGTGCAAGGGCCAAGGAGAGTTGTTTTCTATTCGCTCTTGCAAAAAAGCTGTAACTTAAATTCATCTAAGACAAAATAGCACTTTCTGATCTTCATTCTAATCATAGTCCCCGTCTTCTGGTGATTGATGAGCTCCATGACCTGTTTTTCCTGCAATAGATATTTAGCTTCAGTATTTCCTACTGTGTCAGCACCCATGCATATGCACATGTGCAAGACTCTAACCTGTCAACTCAAAAGCAGTTCTATCATCTAGACCGGTCCTCCAATCTGTGGGGTGAGGTGCCAAATGCAGGCCCTGTGGTTGCATCATGAAATGACTTCCCCCAAAACTCTGATGATCGTCATTTGAGACGATAGGGTTTCTTCCTGGAGCTTCAAAAGCTGAGCGAAAGCCAACATTAGATACCGAAGTTCCAGCAACTGGAGATGGCAACTTGCTACTGGAGGCATCACCTTTCGCATTAACACTACCATCCTTCTTGTTGTCAATAATAAATGTACCAACAATAACCTGTAGATGCAAAAAATTATTGTGTGTTTGACATAAAATCCTAAGTCATATGGATAGGTTAATCAGAGTTCTCTTGATATCAATTGTACATTTTAGAAAATAACGCAGCTGACAAAGTCACTCAATCAATGGTAGATGCAATAATCCCCTGCTCAAAGAACTAGATTAACCCCCTACCCTCTCTTTTGCCAATTTCAATAACAATGAATAATTACCTGAACTGGACCAGCAGCCTTTAGAGGTCCACCAACTCCTCCTCCAATAATTTGCCCATCTGCACTTGATAGACATACACTGAGCCCACCAGTCCTCCCACCAACTTCAGTCCGAACATAAGATCCAGATAGTGAGATTATTTCAAACCGGCCCTGACATCATCACCCAGGAACGAGATCATATTTTTAACAGTACTAAAAATTATTATAGTTATCCAAAAACTAAATAAGTCAGAAAGTTCCAACAAGTTTTCTCATGAATGAAAGCATTGATTGGAAAAGGGAAATAATATTGAGACAAAAAATGAGCCTTTTAGGCATATCAGTATCACAGCGGCATCATAAAATATTGTTTCCATATCTCATACATTTGAAATCATAAACGTACACATACTTATAATGAGTTGATGCAAACAAAGATTCTAACCAGATGGTTTATTTTCCTTTTCCCCAATACAGAAATTATTGTCATAAGAAAACAAATATTACAGGACTAGTGTCCCAAGCAAGCACAGGTAGAAGCTTCCTGTTATGCTTAAACTTATATATACCATTCTTTAGACCATGATTTATTTGTAAACCACTTTTAGATCATCACACCAAATCCTCTCCCACAATATAGAACCTAAGTTTTTCTAACAAAACTTTATTCATGTTCTTAAAAGCACATTTTATTATTTTTGATATAAAGCTCCAATTTAAAAATCCTAGAACATATAAACAAAAAGTTGTGTAATTGATGTAAAGTAATTATAACAGAAGGGGAGAAAGGAGTGGTCACCTCATAAGCAATGTTACCACCCAATGTCGCTGGCTGCCGGAGAGATGCATTAGAGATCGTACCAGAAGCAGACAATATACACAATTCCCGCTTGCTTTGTTGCATGAACATCATTATTTTTTGGCCCACATCCTATTTGGATCCATATATCATGTCAGGGAGGCAACAAAATAACTTCAATTACATCTAGAAACGCTACTGCATCTTGACCTAGAACAGTTAATATAAGACTATAAGACCCAAGATTGTTGAAACGAAATTCATAACTATTAAGACCCAGAAAAAGCTACTATCGACTCGTGACATTGTTCATCAGGCATGATAAGGCACAATGTTTAACATCAACAATAGCAAGTAAGACCCAAACGGATAAGGGCTTCTTTCAAAGAGGTGGGTGATTAATGTGCACAAACTTCCCATTATTGGCAAAAAGATTATGAAAAGAAAACAAGCATGGCATTAGTCAACTTGCCAGAAAATAAAAGCAGATGACTGAATGTAACCACAATATATTTCCCTTTTGTGTTGGATCAGTCGGATGAGTAAAGACACATATAGGTGCCTCATCTCCACTCTTCTTGTGATAACCAATTATCAATTCCAGTTTAATAAGCATTGACTCAGTCAAAACACTAGTATCTCCCCAAAAATTGAAAATTTCTTTCAAATGTTACATGTATCCTTTCAAAAGGAAAAGGATTAAGTATATCGATGCAAAAGGTGGACACAGAAAAAGTAATTATAATGCTGCAAATTGTTGCATATGCTAAATGCCTTAACAGCCATCCTTTATAAAACTATCAACTATAAACGAGAAAATCCAAATAAAAAATGAAACAAAACAGGAAACATCATAAATATCAACATGATTCATCAAACTTTCCACAATGGCTATCTTGGACTCGACTTTCTTGAAATAAAACATCATAACCTTGAAACTTTTAAGGATTCTATATCAGAAACATAGCGTTAGACACCAAACTTTCTCATTTATAGTTTTTCGTCATAGGTGATTTCTCAAATTTTCTTTTCTTTAACAATTTTGTCCTCTACTGAAGCATTGCTATTCCAAACTACCATACACTATTATCTACATATGAGGCAAAATCAATGGGGCTTTTGTTAAACTGAACCATGCCTCAAAACCTTTCTTTAAGGTATGAAAAGATGGAAAACTATGCCAGATCTCTTTAACAAAAAAAGAAGAGCGCAGTTTTTAAAAATGGTTAGATGTGCAGGAGTTCTAACAGATTATATAAATTTAAATGCATAGCAATTGACATACATGAATCCCAAAATCATGTAGAACTGATTTCAACACATATATAAAGCATTAGTAAACTTTCTAACAGTAATAAGCACCATACCTCTCCTGCAACTACATTGATAACATGTGGAGTAAAACCTTGACCAGCATTGCCTGCACCAATTAGACTGAAGAAGTCAGAATTAAGAATCTAACTGAGACTCCGAACCAAATAAAAGTAAATGATAACACGACCTACTAGAGAACCGAAGTACCAAAAAGCACACAAACACAAGAACCATGGCATGCAATGTCAGAATGCGGGAAATGGCATTCATGATTCATGAATGAAGAATATAAATAAACATGATATTCTGAATCAACCGAGAAGAAGGATAATGAAGCATATGCATCTTTCTGCCAGTATCCTTTCAAAAAAAAAATCTTTCTGTCAGTATCTTAACGTTGTACTGTCTTTGAAAAGATCTAATCCAGCACACTCATTTGACGTATCAATGAATTTTGATATGCAATAAAGAGACAAGGTTATAATCTAACTTGCCAAAAAAGGAAGGTTTTTTCCCTCTTGTACAAGTGTTAACGAATTTGAGTGTATAATTACATATTCTTTATTACCAATCTCTTTAGTCTATAGAAATAATTTTACAACCTATAATGAAGCAGGAACAAAATAAAAAAGCCAAGTGAACATACAAAATAAAAACCGTAAATTGGTTGAAAACTTAAAGGTAAACCATAAACTAAATGTTCTCTAAAATTAAAACTAAACAGCTCAAAACAAAGTCATAGAAGGGAAGTGGGTTCACCCAAACAACCAAACACAAGGCAAAGGATCTAATTCAAAACATAAAAAAACTTCCCAAAAGTTTAAAAACATTAAAAACCTTCCCATCAAAGAACTATTTTTTTCAACAACAAAAAAAAGAAAAAGAAAATAGAGAAGTAATTTTCAAAGGGCACACACCAGGAGCAAATAAAGGCAATGATTCATAATCAACACACCTAGAACAGTCACAATTTCAACAAATTTACAACACAAAAAAGAGAATATTTTACGAAAGAAAATACCCCAACCACAGCTAACAAAGGCATTCGCTTCTCACGTAATGCATCAAAATACCAAAAGAAGATTTCATATATAGATAATGATTTCCCATCGCAATGCATAAAAAAAAACCCCTCAATTTTCAATAATTTTGAAACAACCCCGCCCACCCAAACCCTAATCAACTTTTTCACCCAAAAAAACCCACCTAAGCCAAGCAACTGAGATTTCCCGGAAGACCCGGAAAGCGTAGCACCGGCGCCACCAAGAGCCAACTGCTGCAGCTGCTGCTGTTCTCTCCGCTCCTTCGAGGTCGAAGACGCCATTTTCTTGGCGGCCATGGCCTGTTCGGGGGTACCATACTTCCTCGGCCGCCCTCTTTTCCGCCTGGCGGGCTCCAGAGGTGACGTCACCGCCGGGGGCACTGAATGAGGGTACACCATGTGGTGGTGGGGCCCGCCACTCTCGTTGGGCGGCGGCAGGAGGCCATTAGTCGTTGACGGAGTGGTGTTGACAGTGGTGGGGGTGTTGGTGGTGAAGTAGTGTTGTTGGGCTTCATTTCGTTCCATTGGATTTTTTTCGAGGTTTTAGAGAGAGAAAGAGGAAAATCTCTGCAATTTTTTTAAATTTTTTTTAGTTTATAATTTGTTTTTTTCGATTTAGTTTTTCTTTTTCTTGTAGGGTTTTTTATTCTGTTGATTTTGGGGTCGCGTGATATTGACCGTTGGATGGAAGTTTGGAAGGTGAGATGATTGACTTTTACTGATCAAGGATATCTCCATAAACGGGCTAGTTTATTTTGTTTTTAGGGTTTTAGAGATTTTTTCCCCCAAGATCCAATAATGTATTTAAAAAACATATAATGTCCTAAATTTAATAATTATTAGTAAATGAAAAATATTTGTTTACAAAAATAACTTCAATATTGTTTATAAACATAAAGGGTAAACTACATTAGTAGTCACCAAACTTATAGATCATTTGCATTTTGGTCATCAAGTATTGGAGGCGCTACACTTTTAATTCGTTTATCTCATACCCATCTATCATTTTTCTTAACAAACTAATGCACTATGATAAAATGATCACATATATCATCATCTTATCAATAAAAAAAACGAATATATATATATATATATATATGATTTTGATGAAGATCAATAGGGAACTTAGAGAGGAGATCCAACACCTAACTATTAGGTCAAGTTAAAACAATTATGATGATCCTCTAACTGCGCCACCATGGAAACATCTCAGATAACTTGCAGTAAAGAACTCGATTCGGGTAAAATCGGGGTGCCAAGATCAAACTGAAAATCGAAAACAGTACGGAAGTCCGATCATCGGCACGATACCATCAACGCTCTTGCTGACATATTCCGTATACGACAGAATCATAAACGCAGAGTGCCTGAGAATGAAATGCAACATATAGTGCAAAATGCTACCTTATTCAAATAAATCAAAACCATGTCCATACCTCTTTGCATGTATGTTGATGCTTGGCCAAAAGCTCATAGTACTTTGTCTACAAATCATACATCTCAGCTTGTAGTTTCTCATATTAAGATGCAGTTGGACCTCCTAATTTTTGTTGCACAAACCTATTTCATTAAAATAATAATAATCCCATATGAACAAATGATCCAAAACAAGAAATTTTATAGTGATCGCACATATTGAGATTCAAAATCCAACCCAGATGCAAATCCAGTGATTTTATGTTGGAAGATGAACTTATAAAATTTTAATAGGCATGATACCAATATTAGCTCTCTATATTTATCAAAATAATCATTATTCTTTTTTTTAACATTTGGCCTTGACGTTTTATTTTAAGACAAAAAGATCTTGACGTTTTATCAAATATTAGTCACTTTGATCCAACCGTTAGTTAACTAACGATTCCCTCCGTAAAGTGGCCTTTTTGCCAAAAATGAAACGATGGGCTAAAATGCTGAAAATAAAAAGAATAGGACTAAATTAACTATTTAGTGAGTGAACTTACAAAACTAATAGAAGGTGAAAACAGACTATTAACATCTTAAACAAAGAGAAACAGAAGTTCAAATTGGAAGATTGAATTGAGAAACTTACTCAAGGGCTGAGGAAGGCTTCTCATCTTGTTCATACAATGCCAGCAAAACTGCAGATAATGAAATGAAATAAAGAAAAGAAAACCCAGATCAAGCAATGAAGATTACATGTTCAAAAGAAAAAGGAACAAAACCTTTGGTGAGAGCATCAAGAACGCCACTGGACTTCAGATACTTCCTAAAAGCTTCCTTCCTTGCTTTTGTTTCCTAAATCCATAAATTGGGTACTCCAAATTTTATTGGAATTATTGAACAACAGAGTATAAGAATGTTGGTGGCAGATTGTCCCTCTTTATATCGCATCATTATCTTCTGCAACTGCTTCTTCTTCTTCTTCTTCTTCTTTGCCTTGAAAATTCGGTGGGTGTTCAACCTTTTTGCAGTTAAAAGCATGAAAGATTTAATTGTAATTCAGGAAATGTTTTTTTCCTTCCTTTTTTTTGTTTTTGTGGAAAAAAACGAAACACACGATGATCTGGTCTGGTTCTAGTTCATGTGTGATTCAGTTGCCATTTGTATCGGCTATTAAGGTTTTGAAACCCAAGTCAAAATATCGACTGTAAGTTCAAACCCTCAGTTCTAATGGTCCTTGTTGAGATTTTAGGGTCAGCCCATTTTCAGTTTACCGGAAATCACGTTTTTAGATTTTGGGTTTACTGTAAAGTGAAAAAAAAACCCCATAATTATTCAATTATTAGTGAGGTTTATGTTAGGTTTGATTTGATCGAGCCGGATTAGATTTTTTCTGTTGTCCTCTCGGTTCTAACGTTTTGTTCTGACTAATCCGGACCGACTCGTGTCGCACACCTCGTTTTGGTGGGTGAATCTCACAGCATGAATTTTCTGCATATACAATGACTCGAACCTGAGACTTTACTTAAACGGAATTAAGCTGAATTAGATTTAAATTTAAGATAAAACCTTAACTCGGCTTGATATAATATGATAACTATCTTTTATATATTTAAGAGTAATTATAATAATTATTTATTTATTTTTAATTAGATTCTTATTTTACTTAATAAAAATAAATTATAAAGTATATGTTTAGATAAGATCCGGTGTTAATCTAAAAAATTGAGTTGAATCTTAAGTCAAACAAACCCTACTAAACTTAAATTAAAGGGTAAACTACATAAAGAACCACCCACCTATGGACTTGATATCGAAATAACCACCATTTTCAAATTTACGTCAATATGGCCACTGAACTATTTAAATGATTTCAATATAACCACATGTCGTTAACATTTAACGGATGTGTTTAAGTGACAGTTAACAAATTTGGTATAACTAGGGCGCGAGTCCTTGTAAAGTTTCGTATTCGCGATGCTTACACCCTGCTTTGTTTTCTTCCATTAACTTTAAAATCTTTTATCCTAGTCATGTATTAAATTTATATATTAAATCCCATAGATTTTAGAATTAACCATTGAGCCAATTCTTACACTTGTTATCAAGATAATATATATGTTATATACCTTATTCAGGTTTAGGTAGAAAGATAAAACTAAAATAACTTAATTGCATTTTAACCCAAGATTAGTTAGTAACCAAGCAAAGCCTTTACCAATAGGTTAAATCTAATATTTAGGAATCAATTAAAAGATTTTTTAATATTAAATATTATAGTTAATTATAGAAATAAAAATAGACGAGTGAAGACTTAAATATAGGAACAATTGAGAATATGATAACACTTAAATTACTAAAAAAAAGTCTAATATATTATTTATAATTAATTTAAGATTTAATATTTTTAATTAAATTTATTTATTTTATATTTATTTATTAATGATTATATATATGAAATTATATTTAAAATTAAATTAAAAATTTATTTAACATGCACGAACTCATGAGTACAATTTTTTTAAATATGAAATTATTTTTTTTGCCTAAACTTGAACAAGTTATATAACATATGTATCATCTCAATAACAAATGCGAGAATTAGCTTAGTGGTTAAGGCATGCGCAGGTTACCATTGGGTGTCAAAACTCATAGTTTAGATATGGTTTTTAAAAAAATGAAAGTTTAGGTACTAAAACGGATAAAAAGTAATAGTTTAGCTAAACACATACTTTACCTTTATTTTTTAAGAACATTTAGTTTCAATGTTTCATTTTAGGATAAAATTATATCATAATATTTAATTAAATAACCATTGTGGTATTTATTCATTTTGTAGAACATTTCGACTCTTAATGTTTTATTTTGGGGTAAAAGCTCTATTTTAAATCGTTAATTAACGGGTATAGAAGTCTTTTTGTCTCAAAATAAAATATTTAGAGACAAAATGCTTAAAACATAACAGGTCAAAATGAATATTAAGTGTGGAGGGTATTTTTTTTTTAAATATTTTACGGTCTAGTACAAGAGATGGTGCATCTTCATTGATAATTGGATAAGTCGACCACTACCATATTAGACGCAAGTGGGCATGCAGCAACTAGTCCGTAAAGTAAATTATGGAGTATCTAGGCTGTAAAGTAAAGCCCCGCCGCATACAACGGCCAGAATGGTGTTTCATAAGATCGGTAACGTGGAATCGGGTTCTTTGGGATATTAGATGAGGACCTGTAGACATCAAATTCGAATATAGAATACTGTATGTTCCAACAATGGCAGTCTTCCTCGATTCGGAGCGAATACTAGCTGGGAGACAAAAATGAGGGTCTCTGCTTCATCTGCTTCAGCGGTGTTTTTCTTATCTGTTTTCGTAACCATAAATATCTCCATATTTCTCCCCGGATTTCGAACTCGGATCAGATATGTCACCTATATTTGCGCTTGTTAAGCAAATGGTAGGAGGGGGGGTACTGAACCTTCTGTGAGGGAGATTCTGGACTCGAAGCTGGGCGAAGTTTCAATGGAGTCGAAGGTGAAGACAACGACGTCGTCCTCATCGTCACTCATTTTCAAGGCGCCTCGTGAGCTCCGCCGAGTAAATGAAGGAGCCTTCGAACCACAGATCACCTCCATAGGACCTTACCACCATGGGAAAGATCATTTGAAGGCCATGGAAACAGACAAAGTTGGTTATTTAAGTAGCCTTCTCCAACGACGTCCTGTTGGCTTGGAAAACTATATGGACACCTATATGTCCATAGAACAAGAATTTCGTAATTGCTATGCCAAACATGATGATCCCGCTATGACCTCTGCAGAGTTCAGGGTGATTATGGTCATCGACGGATTGTTCGTTGTTCAACTCATTAGAAAATTCATGCATCCTCAATTGAGAGAATCAAACGATGTCCTGTTCAAGCAGAATTTGAATCTATCTTTTGTGGCACTAGATTTGTTACTGCTTGAAAATCAACTTCCTTTGTGTCTATTGGAAAAGTTCGCTGTCATGACCGGGCCGGGCGGGGATACTTTTGCAAGACAGAATCTAAATTTCTTCTCCAAAACAGATTTCCGATTACGGATGCTGTATAAAAAAAGAGATGATGAATTTATTCGAAATACTGAGCATCTATCTACTCGGCTTGGTGCACGATAATTGGACCCAGATTCGCTCGGGCTATCTGCAAACATTTCGTCTCATTACATTAGAGCGGAAGGATCAAAAGCATCCGGTCGCCGAGGAAAAGCGCCACCGTACACGGTTAGGGTATGGAGAATGTGATTCATAAGTTCGGCAATAGAGCTGTCGGAACAAGGAATCAAGTTCCGGCAAGGTGAGAAAAACTTCTTGTTTGACATCCAATTCAAACACGGAACACTGTGTATTCCAACCCTAATAGTTGACCACGATACACAGAAAATGATGCGAAACCTCATTGCATACGAACAATTCAAAGATAAATCAGGGAGCATCGTTATGGATTATGCTATATTCATAGATTGCCTCATCAACTATCCCGCAGATGTTGCTTTGCTATGCGACTGTGGGGTAATCGATAATTGGCTGGATAGCAACAAAGATGTCGCCAGCATGATTAACAAGATCAACGATTACGTTTACCTATCCACCGGAAGATTCTATTACTCCAACATATTCTACGAGGTGAACAAGCATTGCAGACAACCATGTAACCTGTGGAAGGTGAAACTGAGGCAGACATATTTCAACACCCCCGGAGATTGGGTTCTTACTTCCATTGCTGCTGCCACTCTCTTGCTCATACTTACCATTCTGCAAACTATATTTTCGGTTCTTGCTTATATAAAAAAACAAGTAGATTGTTCATCTGCAAACTATATTATGTACTTTAAAATCAAACGAATCATGCATGTACCGAATTAAAGGGTTCGAATTCATTTATAATCATCCTTTTGTTTGTAACGACTAGAGATCAATGAACCAGCCATGTCGAAATCACCAAGAAAATAAGCATTTCTGCCTAGCCATAGCATAGGGGAATTGGTTTGTAGTTGTCACAAAGAAAAGACATACCAAAGCTAGCAAATACAGTCCTTTTGTTAGAAAGTGTAATAAGAAAATCACCGAACCAGCCATGTCGGAATCACCAACAAAGGAATCATTGTTACCAAGCCATAGTTCACCAGTGAATCCACATTTTCGCCCTTTCGAAACTTGTTGCAGAAAGTACTCCATGGACATTTTGAAGCACCTTCTTCACCCTGCAACGGTTGCTTGTTTCCCTGCCGTAAGGTACAGGTTACATAGAGATTAAAATAAGTAGATAGCTGCATAAGGGAGGGTAGAAACAATCACCTCAGGGTTTACGTCGTGAGTTTCTTCTTGATCATTTACTTTCATCAGCGTTCTTCTCTCGGCATGGTGCACTGAATCCAAAGACATTTGGGCTTCAAACCTGCCAGAATTCCTCCTTGAAAGGGCTTTGTAGGCTGCATCGGTGTGTATTGTTTCCATCACCGACCCAAAGAAGTTCGTAACGGGTACCTAGAGAGAAATCAACTTGGTTATACAATGCTTCGATGTTTAGTATTATGCATAGCGGTTCATCATGATAACACTGAAAACAGTACCAACAATAATAAAGGCAGTTAAAAATGCAAATTCACCAACCCGAGCATATAGCAGATAATGAGAAGCTCATTACCAGTTAGAGGCACTTGAGCCTTAAAGCTTCATCACAAAACTATTAGAGAAGTACAGAGAACAATCATCGAAAGACGTATAGAGGCAAGCATATTAGGAAACAATTTTGGGACCTCCATACCTCCTCCAAATTCCGTTTGTATAGATCTTTGCGGTAGTAGGCAGTAGACATCAACCAACTTGGATTGTAAGAACTAAAAAGACTGCAAAATAACCAGAAAACCAGAGTTCACTTTTCAGAGATGAAAATGCTTTGGGGAAGCGGCAAAAATGTCAAAAAGAAAAGCCAACTTAAATGGACGAGAATTAAAAACTTCAATCGGGAAAAACATATTGAATATAAAATTTTTAAAATACCTGAAAAGAAAAGTTCATTAACGATCTTAAGACACATCAGTGCTAAAACAAATATGGCTATCATATTACTATTACAAATTCCAAAGCTGATGTACCTGCTCAATGAGGCATTGTCATATATATTTAGCCTCTCAAAGAAAGCAAGGGTATAATAGGTGAAGCGATCAACAACAGATACACCAACCTGCGCTAAGTGAAGAATTGAATAAGAACGATAACAAGTTTGTGTAACCAGAAAACCAACCAACCAAAAACCCTATACCACTCGGGTAATATACATGACATTTTCCCCCTTCTGGGACAGCAATTTAAAGGGTGCTAAAATGATAAAACAATTTCCTTTTATCACTTACATCAGAATCCAAGTGATGTGAGTACGAGTTCTCTCCTTTCATGCTACTTCCAATAGCCAAAACACCAGGGGACTGAAGCTGCAACATAGAGAGCAAAGATCATAAATTTTGCATCAGATCAGCTATCAGATAAAGCACATTATATTGCCTACAAATATATAAGTTTCAGAATGTCTCATCTATAAGTAAACAAAAATAGTTCAGAATTGCACCAAAACAAGAATATCAGTGAGCCGATGAAACAGGCGAAGGGGAATGCCTGCCAGACAATAATTTGAAACTTCGAATAGATTAGACAGACTGCTCATAAATTTTCAAAAGATGTAAAGAAATGAAAATGTATGAGAAATATGTTGATCAGTAGTGGGGTTATAATGCGATTCCATGTAGCAAAATGACAGTAATGGATCCACACCAATAACATATCAATAGTGCAATGAATTTACTTAGAGTTAGCAGAAAATTGAATTTTTTGACAAATATATGCAGGGATGGATGCAGAATTTTATGCTAGGGGGCGAACTTATAAATTTTAGAAGGGAGGGGGGCGAAAACAGATTATCAATAGAAAATAAACAAAAATATATAAAATATAGAAGAATTTGAAAATTTCAGGGGGGCGACTGTCCCCACCCGTCCCCCTCAGTCCATCCCTGAATATATGCATTTTCTACATAACCAAATGATTGAAGAGCAACATTCCTATCTGAAATGCATGCATTTATGGCTAAAAACTGAATAATGTAATATTTGGAGAAGTAAAGCTCCATTTTGATGCAGATAAAAACCTGATTGAAGAGAGTGGCCGCTTGGCAAGTGTCCACCATTATCAACAACTCCTTAAATCTGAATTCGCAGCACCGTCAACAACACAAGTCCATTTTTACATAGAAGTTACAACTATAGACCATCAGCAAGCAAGGTGCATATAAAGCGAAAGATGAAACAAGTCCAGACACAGTTCCGAGCCCATGACACCAACGTAACTGTTAAAAGATAGTCCTTACAAGAAAAGGCAAATTCTGCCAGTTATCTAGCCTATACTTCAAAATTCTATGTTATATGAGATTTGTTCAAGAATTACAAGGAAATTGGGACAGGTACATTCCCTCATGACCTCCAAAAGTCATACAACTTCCAATTCTATAGCTTTATTCAGGAACATGTCAAGGCAGGAGTTATAAGAATATGATTTACTCACCTGTGCTTTTCTTTCATCTGTTTCACAGCATCAGCTAAATCATGACTCTGGAGTTCCTCTGAGTCTTGAAACTTTAAAAACTCGTCTCCTCCATGACCGGTCATATAAAGAAGAATGTGACTGCCTTCATCACTCAAGAGACGCTTTGATCTTGGAACAGCAGTCTCATGACGTCCAGTTAAAACACGCAAAAAATTTTCCACTGTCACTTCATAACCTCGATAATCTACCTGAGTGATGGGATTTTGGATAAATTAGGGTTGATGAAAACTCAAAAGGACAAAAGAATAACAAAAAAAATACACTTCAAGCACAATATCAACAATACACACAGAATGGAAACCTAAGACAATCAAAGTCTGGTACCACGCATGTTAACATTAGGCTAGACCAAACTACTATCCCCGATGAAACCCCGCCTCCCCACCCCACATACGCATACACAAATAAGCCAAATTAGTAATTGGTTAAAAAGAACTAACCTCAACATTATCTCCATAAAGGTTAAGTCTATGGTTCTCGTTGTTGAAAACTTGAGCAGGATACTTGTTTCTAGTGTTGCAGGCCATGTCATCTGCAAGCATGAGTATTATCCTCTCATCAGGTATTCCTAACCGCTTAACTGTCCTGAAAATCCATGTCAAGGAAAAAATCAACCAAAAAAGTTTCTAGTTGTAGCAGGAAAGAAAAATAAGCAACTGTTTGGTTACCTATACAAGGATAAAGTGTTGGCCATATGACGATAGTTAAACCTGAATGAGAAACAATCACAAAAATTAATTCAATCAACAATTTCAGGACTGTATCTAGTGCAGCCGTGTTTGACATCAAATAGTAGCAAAATTAGCAAGTTTGTGTTTTAGCCGACCTAATGCAATGAGAAAAGGGAAAGTAACCTTCTCTGGTATAAGATAACCAAAGAGAAAGCATGTATGTCATGAGAAACAAGAAATGTTATACAGGAGCAAGATCAGACCACTGCCATTACCACATATGGAACTTGCATCTGCATTTCTATCAATGAACCAGAAGCAGAAAAGCATTCACCAAAATCTACATTAACCCTCAAAACATTTTGAAATCATCAGATGGGGAATACCTCCCCAGCACAAACAAAAAGGGGAAAGCTGCTAGACAATAACACTGGAAGGCTGATAGTCAGTTGATTCATCATTATTCATTACCACTAGTTTGAGGGGTGAATCACAGTAACAAAACAGAGGCACAGAGTTCAAACGCTCAAATGAATCACATATCAAAATAGCATCTAAAAGAACACCTATATTCTCTCAACTCCAGATTGGGTTCAAACAAATGTAGCTAGAAATCCAATCATACAAAAAATTTAGGGGGGATGGGCGATGGGTTATCTTAATTATCCCAAAAAACACCATGGGTATAATTCATTTGATCCTAAAACTCAATGAAAAGAAAAGAAAAACAAAACAGGGAAATATAGAACAAAGAGTACAAAGTGAGGTTTTTATTACCAGAAACGGGAGGTGCAAACTAAGACAGCCCAGTTGTTAGTATGCATAGCAGCTTCGACGGAAGAGGAATTGAATGAAATCAAACTGTAGAGAAGCAAACATGGTAATAACAGTAAAACCAAAACTGGTTTGGAATTATTGAAAGTTTCCATCTTGAATTCCGTCGGCTTTTCTTTTCCAGTGAACTAATTGATCTGATCAAATCGTATCTCAGAAGCTTGAAGCAGCAGCGCCAGAGAAGAAAAACAAAACGACGCCGTTACCAGGTCGGGTTTCCTTTTTGGAAATTTTAATCGCATGAAAAGAGAGGACAAAACATTTGAGTTAATTTCACCATAACTCCTCAGTATGATCTTATTTTAAATTGGTTCTTAAACTTTTAAAAATCATAATTTCATCTACAAACTATGGCTCTCTTTCAAAATTGATCCCTATACTTTTGAATATTCTAATTTTAACTTAAACTATGACTCTCATTCTATATTGATCCATAAATTTTTCAACATTCTAATTTTTGGAGTCAAATTTGATATGAATAAATTAATATTTAATTTGAAATCGAATTAGATTTATGAATGAACGTGTCAGATTGAATCGAGGTGGTTAAAAATTCGACCCATTTCATCCTATCAAGTTATTTTCTGATTATTTTGAGAAAAGATGTTTAATGACGCCATGTAAGGTATACTCTCCTTCTCTCTGGGCGTTTTTTGTTTGAAGGGCATTTTGCCTTGTTTTTGGGGTTGGTCATGTCATTTTAACATCTGGGTTGTGTCATGTTAAGCATTTGGTATTCTGTCTATGGTTGTTTAATGCCTT